CTTGGACTCACGTGCCATCCTCATTGCTCCGGTAAAACACCAGGAAGGGGTCAGACTTCCCGAAGAAGTCTTTCTTGTCCAGCTTGTTGGCACAGAACTGCATGGTGACCACGTCCTGGGGGAGGGAGGCAGGTCAGGCACGGCCCGGGCAGCCCCAGTGCGGTGGGCACGCTGTGGGTTCTCAGTCCCGCCTGCCTCTGCCCGCTTCTAGCCGTGAGGGGGAAAACTGAGCCTGGGCTTCCCCTCTCTGAGACGGAGGGCGGCGCGTGGCCAGCAGCCTGCCTGGCTTTGCCGCCAGGAAGGCCCTCGGGCTGAGCCGGTGTGTCCTCAGATCCGCTTCCTATGAGGCCCAGCAGGGGCCCAGGCACAGCACCCCAAAATGAACACTGCACCCCAACATTCCACCACTGCACCCCAACATCCCATAGCCCAGGCTGCTCCCTCCCACAGCCCCTTTTCTCTCTTGAGAGCTGTGTCTTGGGGAACAAATGGGGAGCGGCCACCTCAGCGTGCAGGCTGAGCAGCGGGTGTGGTGGTATAAGGGTTAGGAGCAACCCCTGGTTGCTGGGGTCAGGCTGTGTGACCTAGGGCAAATTACTCACCCACTCTGTGCTCAGTGTCCTCATCTGTAAAGCAGAGGTAATGGTGGCGCCTACCTCACGGGCTTGTGAGGCTATAATGAGGGCATGAGGCAGCGCGGGGCCGGCTCTGTTTGTGTGTGGGGCCTGTTTCTGTTCCTCTCCACCCAACAAGCCTTCCCACCGGACAGGCACACGCTGAGCATCCTTCCCCACAGTCATTGCCATTTAACCTGCCTGCTGGTCCCTTCAAACCCCTCTGCCCGGACAGAGAGCGCACATTGCATGTCCCCAGACGCCATCTGGGTTTTTTGTTGGTGGGTGGGTGGGTTGGTTTTGCCAGTACTGGAATTTGAACCTAAGGCCTCATCCTTACTCTTTCTTGCTGTACCACATGAGTCACACCTCCAGTCCTGCTTTTTACTGGTTATTTTGGAGATAGGGTCTCATGGATTTTTCTGCCTGGGCTGGCCTCTAGCTACAATCCTCCAGATCTCAGCCTCCTGACTAGTTAGGGGTACAGGCATAGGCCACTGGCACTGGCTTCCCTGGTTCCACGGAATTGCTGAGTTCTGGGGACCCTGAGTTTGCGGTTGATGGGAAGGACTGAGTGCTAGGGACCCCAGAACAGCATTCCAGGTGGCAGGGGGCTCTGAGGAGTTGCCAGCGGGGGTGGGAGGGGGTGTCCTCTCTTCCTAATTTACCCAAAAAGAGAAAGCCCAGTGCGCCCAGGATCCTGGGACCTTCCTAGGTCCTGAGTTCAAGCCCCAGGACTGGCGCACACAAACAGCCATCTGAACAAATGCAGAGGCCCCAAATGTGGGTGCTACATGGCTCACCCCTTGACTGAGTGGGAAGCCAAGGAGATGAAGGAAAGCAGCCAGAGCTCCACAGGCGGCGAGGAATGAAATGCGGGGAGGTGTCTAAGGTTCCAGGTCAGGCTTGGCTTCTGCAGCAACAGCCTGAGGGGAGCTCTGAGTCTGGGGGGCTGAGGCTGGGGGGCTGAGGCTGGGGCGTCTCCCAGGCTGGGGTGGGGACTCTGAGCGATGCTGTTCCTCACCAGCACGCTGGGAGCCGGTCCCGGGAGGATGGAGCAGCTTCTGCAGTGTGTAATTTCCTGCAATTTCTGCCTTTCACCCTATCTTTTTAAAAAACATATTAAGTTCTTCTAAAACAGCAGGATTGCTTCCATTTACATCTCTCCGCATGCTAATTGAGCTGCTGGGGAGAACACTGCAAACGCCTTCCTCTCCTCTCCTCTCCTCTCCAGCCCCCCGGCCCAGGCCCAGCGCAGGGGTCCGGCCCAGCGCAGGGGCACCGCCGGCTGCCAGCCTTCCCTGCCTGGGCAAGTCTCTGGAGGGCAGAGGGCAGAGGTTAGGGCCACCGGCCAGGCGGATGGGAGGCCCGGGTCAGGAGGGGAGAAAAGAAGACTCGGCTGTTTGGGGGCTTGCGGGCAAAGCAAGCAGGGGATGAACTCGAAAGTTAGGTCCAAATCCCAGGAACCTAAAGAAAGAAAGACTTTTGGCAATTGAGCCCAGGGCTTGCTCAACCCTGTAAATTCCTTGTCTTTTGTTTTTTAGGGTTTTGTTTTTTCCTCTGGTTTGGCTCCTTCCAGCCCCCACCTATCCCAGCCCCCTGCCTTGGACCGCAATCCTCCCCCCACCGCGTGAGAAAATGGAAGGACAGACGTACACCCTCATGCCTGGCTCTCTGAATCCATAGTTTAAAATGATACTTAAAACAATAGAAATCAATGCTAAGATCCATGAGCAACAAAACGACTCATTTTTAAACGAAGACACACGTCTACAATTGAGTCAACTGGGAAGCACAGAGAAGGCAAATGACTGGCCCAGGGTCACACAGCAGGCCAGCAATGGCACTTGGTCTGGATCTAGATCCCTAGTTCTTAATGACACCGAACTAAAATCAACCAAGTCTACCCGCCCAGCTCAAAGGACAATGAAACAATTAGGACAGGGACTGTTCACTGCAGGATGGCTTCTGTTGTTTCCCTTCAGAGATCAGGTTCTGGCAGGGGCTGTAATCCTAGCTACTCAGGAGGATGAGATCTGAGGACTATGGTTTGAAGCCAGCCTCATAGAAAAGTCTGTGAGACTCTTATCTCCAATGGACCACCAGAAAACTGGAGGTAGAGCTGTGGCTCAAGTGGTAGAGCACTAGTCTTGAGTGAAAGAGCTCAGGAACATTGCCCAGGCCCTGAGTTCAAGCCTCAGGGCCTGCAGGAGAGAAAAAAATTCGGGGGGGGGGGAAGGGGGGAGGGAGCCAGGGAGAGAGGGAGAGAGAGAACTACATTGCAGGTGTGGTTCAAGTGATAGAGTGCCAGCTTAGCAAGCAAAGTCCTGAGTTCAAACCCCAATACTTCCAAGAAAAAAAGAATCAGTGCCAATAAGTGGTTTCCCACATATATAAAAATATATATCCATATATATAATATATATCTATATCTATGAGAAGAATAATAAAATGCCAAGTGTGGTAACACACCTGTAATCTTAGGAGGCAGAGGTTCAAGGCTCAAGTCAACCTGGGCAAAATCAAGAGATTTATCTAAAAAACAATAATACTCGGCTGTGGTTTGAGTGGTAGAGCACCTGCCTGGAAAGTATGAGAAAGGAAGGAAGGAAAGAAGGAAGAAAGGAAGGAAGGAGGAAAGAAAGAAGGAAAGAAAGAAGGAAGGAAGCAGAATAAGGTGCAATTATTAGATACATGTTTTCTAAGAATACTTAGCCAAGAAAAATGCAGGCTGTAAAACTAGATTAAAAGAAAAAGTATGTATATGTGTGTGAACACTCAGAAAACCGCCCTAGAGAAAACACATCAAAATGTCAGCAATGATTATCTCTGGGTGGTTCTTCTCGTCTTTGTATTTTTCTACATTTCTCAACTTGTCTAGAACAAATGTGTTATTTTTTGTTCCCGTGTCAGGGAGATTATTTCTCAGACTAAAACGCAGATCTCATCACCACTCTGTACCCGGGCCACTCACATCGAAAGGCAGAGATGAAGAGGGTCCAGGTTCTAGGCCAGCCCAACGAAAACCAATTCCTGAGACCCCCATCTCAATGGGACAAGCTGGGTGTGGTGGCACACGCCTGTCATCCCAGCTATGACAGGAAGCGCCAACAGGAGGATCGCGGTCCAGGCCTAGGCAAAAAGTGGAACACTATCTCAGAACAACTTGTTCAGAAACGAGGTATGTCTCAAGTGGTAGAGCACCTGCCTAGCAAAGTGTGAGGTCCTCAGGAGAGAATGAATGAAATGTATGACCCAGTATGAATGAACCCCATAGGCTTAAAGGATGTGGAGGCCCAGGGCAGCTGCAGTGTGACCGGTCAGTGGCCTGGGCTGGCGAGCGGGACTGGCCCCGCCCTGTGGAGGCCTCCCGTGGGCCAGCCCAGCTGGGGGGGGGGGTCTGGACTCCAGGGCCTAAGGCAGAGGAGGAGCTCTGGGCTCGGCATGGAAACCGCGCAGGTGCAGCGGGAGTCCACTTAGCACGGCCGCATCTGCAGAATGGAGCCGCCCGCAGCTGCCCAGCTCCAGCCTCACCCTGCGATCAACCATCACCCCCACAGTAGCAAGAACGATGGCTGGAACCCACTTTGTACTTTGGCTCTAGACGAGCAAGTCTTTCCTCTCGCCTATCAAAGTACGGGGGGGGGGTGACACACTGGAGTCCACCCCATCCTCTGCCACCCCCGGCCGCCCACCGGTCCCCGTCCCTTCGGACCGAGGCCGAGCATCATTCATTCACGCAGGAAGCCACCGCCCAGGCTCCGCCCTCTCCCTTTGATCCTCCCACTGAACTGAACTGCCGGCCGTGCAAGACTCAGCCAAGCAGCAGTTCAGATGTAATTATTTTAATTCAGCCAGATGCTGGGGATTAGTCTCTTTGCCTCGCAAGGCTCGTGGAGGGGGCGGGGGGGGGGGGGGGGGGGGGGGACAACCGAGCTCAGCCTAGGAGGTGCCAGGAGAAAAGCAGCTGACAGCCTGGGAAGCGGGAAGCTCCCCCCACCCAGCTCTGGAGATCTGCTTCCCACCATCCCTGGAGGAGGGAGGAGGGAGGACGGAGGACGGAGGAGGGGGGGGGAGGAGAGGGATGGAGAGGAGAGGGAGGTGCCCTGAGGTTCTGCAGGAAGCTGTTTACCAACCGCTGGAGGACCCAGCCAACAGCACCAGCATGCCCTAGAGTGCTGGAATTTCCAGAAGCCTTTCTTGGGATTACCTGATTTAATTACAAATCAGGAGGAAGCTGTCAGTCAGGAAATTCAGGAAATTAGTCTTCAGGAAATTCAGAGCACAGCAGCAAGGTGGCCACCTTCCCAATAGATGGATAAATGGATCCACCCATGAATGGATGGATCAACACATGGATATAGATCCATCAATTGATGAATAGATCACCTTCATCCTCACAGTAACCCCTCTGCCTCTAAAGCCAGTGGAGGCGCGAGCCCAAGGCCCTGGGCAGCGCTGGCCTTCCCGGGGGGGAGGGGGGGCAGTTCCCTCTGGGGTCCGAGGAGCCAGGTCTGCTGTGGATGCTGATGGACTCTAACGAACTTGGCTTCCTCCAGTCAGCTAATTCCTAAGAAACGAGGCCGCACCGAGCACCGACAGAGCAGCCAGCCGTGGACAGGCACACTGGGGAAAGGGGTTACCTTTCCAGATCCAGGAAGTAAATGCACAGGGAGGGTGGATGGCCACCAAGACAAACAGCTGAAAATGATCCTCCCAGTCTCCCAGGGTCAAGTCTGTCCTGGGCTCTAACTGCACGCTCTGAAAAGCAGCCTAATGATGAAAACTCCCCGACTCTCCAACTGCGCTGCCGGCCTTCAACTCTCTTCTATTCAGTGGCTGTGTGGCCTTGGAGAGACCACTGAACCTCTCGGTGCTTCTGTTCATGGACACCAAGACCCATGATCCACCAGATATATAAAGCTTCCTGGTCCATGTTGTAGCTTATCACCCTGTGTTCTAAGGGTGTTGGCTGACCCAGTTAACCTTCTCTACCACAGGAATGCTGCGGGGGGCCAGGGAGGGTCTATAAAGTCAAAACTGTGATCCTAGTAATGCAAGACAAAGAGCTTTCCAGACAATGATGTTCCTGGCAGGAACATCACAGATTGGCTGTAGAAGCAGTACTTTTACATGTCATTCGGAACAGAACCCAGGGCGCCACACACGCTAGAGCATGCCACCCCGAGCTTCACCCGAACCTCTCTGGCTGTCTTGTAAAGCAAGGCCACTCTTCTGATTAAAGAATTTCTATGCAGCTAGGTGCTGGTGGCTCACGCCTGTAATCCTAGCTACCCAGGAGGCTGAGATCTGAGGATCCTGGTTCAAAGCAACTTGGGTAGGAAAGTCTCGTGAGACTCTTATCTCCAATAAACCACTAGAAAACCGGAAGTGGCGCTGTGGCTCAAGTGGTAGAGTGCTCACCTTGAGCTGAAGAGCGCAAGGACTGCGCCCAAGCCCAGAGTTCAAGCCCCATGACTGACCAAAAGAAAAAAAAAAAAGAATTTCTATGCAGCTAGGTGCTGGTCGCTCACACCTATAATCCTAGCTACTCAGAAGGCTGAAACCTAAGGACCTTGGTTCGAAGTTGGTGCAGGCAGAAAACTCTCACTCTGATCTCCAATTGAACAGAAAAAAGCTACCAAAGGAGCTGTGGCTCAAGTGGTAGAGCACCAGCCTTGAGCGAGAAAGCCCATCCAGAGCACAAGGCCCTGAGTTCAAGGCCCAGTACTAGTGCACACCCACAAAAGAATTTCTATGAAATAGCTGAGAGGCCCAGGGAAGGTCAGAAAGTCTTGTTTTTTTTTTTTCTCCTCACCCACTCGGTCCCACAGCACCGGGGTCCCCGGTATCTGGGCTTGGTGCCTCCTGCCACATGTCCATTCCTTCTTCTCTTCCCCAGGACCCCAGACTCCCCACACCAGGCACCTAACTGATCTGAAGGCTCAGCCTGGGAGGTTTGGGAGATGAGCCCAGATTTTAGAATCAGCCCGATCGGGATTTGAACTATGACTGCGCTCCCTGTGTGTGTGGGGGGGAGGTAACGCAGTCTTTGGGGTGGTGACAAATGATGGGCCGATGCGACTGACAAGCCACTGACACGTGACTGACACGTGACCGCACCCCGGTGACATTTCACCATTGCTGTGAGTCATCGGAACCCTGAGCCCCTCCCTCCTGAGTGGCCGGGCCACCCCCTGCTTCTATCCACGGTCCCAAGGTACTGGCAAGTAACCAAGCTGCCTGGAGATGCAGCCTGCACTCCCCAACACCCAACACCCTGCTTGCTCTCACACACACCCCCCTGCACTCACACACACCCCTGCACTCACATGCACACACCCATGCACACTCTCTTACAACTCTCCTCCCCGAGATAAAAATGGAACCAAATGTCAAGCGCCCAGGACTGAAAAGCCATCATTCTGCACGCGTCCCTCCTGCCGCCTCCAGTCCCCTGTCTGTCCAAGCCTCGCTCAGGTCTGTGTCCCAAGACAGCTGAGGATGCCCGGCCATCTTCCTGTCTGCCCTTCACTGGGGGGCTATTTATTTGGCCTATGGAGGTTGAGAGATTGAACCTGACACGTGGAACCCCTGGACCTGGGGTCTAAAAACTCTGGGTTTGCTTCCTGCTCTGTGCCTCAGAACGCTGAGTGGTAAAGAGGGGACCTTCTAGGGCCCCAGGAGCCCTGCCTACCTGGGGATCCCTGCAGGGACACCAATATGCTGGCCCGACCGGCCCCGCCCCTGGCCCCGCCCCCCGCCACACCCACTTCACTCAGCTCCGCCCTCTCCACTCACCCTGCAGTTGCTGAGTTCTTCTGCGGACAGGATGATGGAGCCACACTTCTTTCCGGGGACGCCTCTGGGGGAGAAGAGAGCAGAATGGAAAGCCAGACAGAGGGAACCAGTGCTGACAGTCTGGCCTCACTCCCTCCCGCTGCCGTGGGGGTTCTACCCACCCCACCCCCTAATCCCTGAGAAGACCCCGGTCTCCAGGAGTGCTTGTGACAGTGTGGCCTAGGGTGCTGGGATGTGGGGCCAGGAGTCCGGCCCCCCGGGACTGCCCACCCCCTCCTGTCTGTGCCCACCAGGGAAGGCTGTGTCTGCTGTGGAGGTTCTAGAATCACAACTGCATCCAGACTCACCCGGAGGCTTCCGGACCAGTGGTTCTCAAACTTTCCATCCAAACACCACTTCTGTGGGCAAAAGACCTGATGGGCTGGCCACCCTACCCTGCACCAGTGGCCAGCATGCCCCGTGTGCCAGCTCTGAGCCCCTGGGTATGGGATAGAGACTAGCAAGGAGGGGTAAGGTGCTGGGGGGGGGCTGGGGTCCTCTTGGTGGGCCTGGCCCAGGTTTTTCTTGAGTCCCTTAGCCGGGGTCTCCTTGGGAGCAAGAGATCCCCCCAAGCATGTGGCCAGCCAGCCACAAGTGGGGCCCATCTTGAAGACTTCTTCCCACATCTGAAGCGGGTCCTTTGGCCAGGGGACCCCACTATTCCTTTCATCAAATGGGACCCCCAAGATCAACCCATTTCACTCTGATGTTAGAGACTCAGCTAGAAGGATCTCCCCCCACAACCCCCGCCTAGCATGAGCTCCCAGGGGCTGCTGGGAGGGAGAGGTTCAAGTCATTACTGCACCCCTTTCCACGCCCTCAGAGGGGGTGATTGTTGCCTAGGTTGTACTGAGATTCACACAGCACCCAGCACCAGGCACAGGGGACACGCATGATCTTTTCCTCCAGGCTCCCTTCCCTTCCTTCATAACCAAGCAGAGAGCCAGTCAAATGCAGCCCCCTCTCCAGCCACGCCCAGAGCCCCAGATGGTGTCTGTGGAAGAGGCTTTGAGAACCACTGCTGGAGTACCTTCTTATCGCATCGGCTTTTGGAAGAAACGACTCCCAACCAAGGAGGCCCGGGAGGAAGGTGGACAGCCCAGGGTCTCCCTCTAAACTAAGCAGACAGAGCAGCGGCCACTACCAGAGCCTCCCCCAGCCCTGGGCAGGTGGCAGGGCTGCCAGCTTGTCTGTCCCCTAGAGGTGGGTAGCTGAGCTGAGGGGCCCAAAGTCCTTCTCCACCTGCTGGTCTGGGCCTCCATGGTGAGAAGGACTTGATGTGTGTGACCAGGCGGAGAGAATCCTCAACACCAGCCTCCTCAGCCCTTGCTTCTCCATCTGTTCTCTCTGCCTTGGAGGCCGGCTTCTATTTCTGCTCTTTCTCTCCCTCCTCTCCAGCCCCAACTGCTCCCACCAGCTTGGCCTTCCTTCCTCTTCCTCCCTCCTGCTCCAGCCTCCGTCCCTCTCGCTCTCCTCTCCCCACCCCCCTCTCTGATTCTGCTGGAATCTTCTCTCCTTATAAACCAGCCACACTCTGCCAGGGTTGAGAGCGGCCTGGGGCCCAGAGCCCTCATTCCAACAGGCAGAAAGCTGCCTTCCAGACCCTCCTTCCTCCAATGAGGTGTGGGAAGCAGCCAGGTGGGCCTTTCCAGCCAGAAGAGGAGAGGGAAGGCGGCAGGGAGGGCCTGCGAAGCACGCATTGCACGCAGTTGGTCTAAAGCAAGAGGGCGGCTCTGCACAGCGGAAGAGAGCTGCATCCACCGTGTGTGCGAGGAGGAGGAGGCTGGCATCAGAGAGTCGAGGAGCAGAGAGGGAACGGAAGTAGGGAGCCATGAGGGAGGAGGAAGAAGAAGAGGAGGAGGGGGAGAAAGACGAGGCAGGGAAAGGGTAGTAGGCGGGGTGTGGGGGAGAGAAGGGTGGGCAGTGCCCAGGCTAGCTCATCCCTGCAAAAGCCTCCTACCTCTGAGCCCTACCCTGATCTCTGAAGTCCCCAGAGCCTGGGCGCTCCAGCACTGCCCGCTGCCCCCGATGGAGGGGCCCGGCACGACCTGAGGGGTTCCCCATCCGGGTCCTACGCGGCCTAAGGCCTTGTGGAGAGGACTCAGGACTGTGGCCTTCCGATCAGGGCCTGCTTGCAGGTGCCCTCGGTAGAACTGGTGGGAGGTGGCAGGATGCCAGGCCTGGAGCTGCTGGGTGACTTACCCGTTGGACACAGCTGGCATGGGTTTGCCCGTCCTGGAGTTCAGGCTGAACGCCCCTATCCTGCAGAGAGAGGAAGAGAGCCTGCCATGAGCCTGCCTGCCGCCAGGGCTAGCTTGGAGACAGGTTTGAGGTGGTGAAATGAGGCGCAGAGCCACCGGCCACAGGAGACATTGTCCCACATGCGTGGTGGCGTCCAGGACAAGTTAGGCTGAGCTTCTCAAAGTGGGGTGTCCCAGCGCCCCTGGGAAGGTGTTCTGAATGCACCTTCTCAGGCCCACCCAGACCACAGCGTCAAAAATTGGGGGGTGGGGGAAAGCAATCCTTGCCCAGGTGACTCTGATGCCCCCTAGAGGTAGAGAACGAGCTTGCACCCCACTGGGCCTCGGGGTCCAGCCCATGGAAAGGAGACTGTTACATGGGACATTATGTTCTAGGAAGAACTGTGTTCCCCTCAAATTCATATGTTGGTCTCCCAGTACCCCACAATGTGACTGAATTGGGAAACAGGGCTTCGTGTATATGTGTATGTGTGTGTGCACGCTGGTACTGGGTTTTGAACTCAGGGCCTTGATGCTATCCCTGAGGGTTTTTTTTTGCACAAGGCTGGTGCTCTACCATTTGAGCCACAGCTTCACTTCGAGCTTCCCATCCCCCACCCCCAATCCTGAGGTTGAACTCTGAGCCTGGGTGCTGTCCCTGAGTTCCTTTTGCTCAAGACCAGCACTCCATCACTTGAGCCCCAGCACCACTTCCAACTTTTTCTGTGATTTAGTTGGAGATAGCGTCTCACAGGCTTTCCTGCCCAGGCTGGCTTTGAATTGCAATCCTCAGATCTCAACCTCCTGAGTAGCTAGATTACAGATGTGAGCCATTGGCTTCATCTTTTTTTGTTTGATTTTGGGTCCCAGATTTGGGGCTTGAATTCAGGGCCTGAGCGCTATCCTGAGCTTTTGTGCTCAAGGCTAGTACTCTACCACTTGAACCACAGCTCCACTTCTAGCTTTTTGGTGGTTAATTGGAGATCAGAGTCTCATGGACTTTTCTACGCAAGCTAGCTTTGAACCCCGATCTTCAGATCTCAGCCGCCTGAGTAGCTAGGATTACAGGCGTGAGCCACTGGCTGCATCTGTTTAATAGCTACAAAAGATTGCTTGCAGTCCCTCCTTTGGACAAGCCAGTGTCAGGCTGCTCTGGGCTCCTATATAAGGTGGGGCAGCGTTTGCAGGCGCCCTCCCAAGCTGTAGCTCTCCTCGGGAAGGAGGCACAGACCCAGGGTGCCCTCTGTGCAACTGCTGGTTGTACCATGCTGCAAAGTCGAAAGTGATGACAAGAATGAGGTCCGCGTGTGCTACACACAGATACAGTGCCCGTCCCCCTCCAGGTTTTCCACCAGGGGCTGGTTGACTCTATGAGGGAAAAACTCACACATATACCGAGGGCTGACTACACAGATCTCCCCAGCAAAGCGCTGACCCTCGTGGCTGGTCTAGAATAGATGCCCGGCCGACAGGAGCTGCCAAGATGGTTAGTCATGAGGGCGGCTAAGCTTAGACACGCGGAGCCTCAGTGGCTCAGGGATCCCTCTCTCACCGGCATTCCCCGCCACTGTCATGTTTTGCATCTGGCGTGTGCTTAGGCTCAGCTTGAAAGCCGTCTGCTGCACAAAGTCTCCCTCAACCCCCCAGCCTCGCCCAGATGTGTCCTCTACTGAAGATGGACATAGGAAGTGGACACAGCAGGCAGGAAATGGGCTAGTGCTAGTCCTGGGCTTCTCTCGACGGTTATTCCATCCAGGTATAGCCAGAACTATGGTATGGATGGGGCCAAGCACTTTGGTAAAGGTCAAAAGTCAAGGGTCAGTGGGCTATACTTAGACGATGGTTAACATGAGGACAGGCCAATGGGCAGGTGGTCCTGAGTTCTTCTGAGGTAGATAAAAAAAAAATCTAAAATTACAATTAAGTCAAGTATGGATGGCTCTCATCACAATCTTAGTTACTTGGGAGGCTGAGAATGGAAGGATTAGAGTTCAAGGCCAGCCTGGGCAGAAAAATCCTTGAGACCCCTCCTCCCCCTTCTTGACTCATAGGTTGGTACAGTGGCATATGCCTGTCATGCTAAGCTATCTGGGGAGGCTGAAAGCAGGAGGATCACGATTCCAGGTCAGCCTGAGCAGGAAAGTCCACAAGACCCCTTCATATTAGAGAGAAGTTGGACGCATTGGTGAGTGCCTGGACTTCCAGCAATGACAAGAAGCCTAAAATAGGCGGATTGTGGTCCAAGTGTGTGCCTGGACAGGAAGTAAGACTCTATCTCAAAAATAACCAGTGAAAAGCATAGCATGGCTCAGCTAGAGAAGGCTTGCCTAGCAACTGTAAGGCCCTGAGTTCAAATCCCAGTGTCACCGAAAAAAAATGCAATTGAAATTGGTTAAGGTAATCCTAGTTATGAATATCTGAGTCTTATGAGAATGTAAGTATAGCTGGGCATGGTAGTGCATGCTTGTAATCAAGGCTGAGGCACAGGTATCAAGAGTCTGAGGCCAGCCTGAACTGCATAGTCAGACCCTGTCTCAAACAAAAGACAAAATAATAAAAGCACCAGTGCTCACACCTGTAATCCTAACTACTTCAGAGGTTGAGATCTGAGGATCGAAGTTCGTTCAAAGCCAGTCAGCCGGGTCATAAAAGTCCCCATGAGATTCTTATCTCCAATCAACCACTCAAAAACTAGAAGTGAAGCTGTGGTTCAAAGTGGTAGAGCACTATCTTTGAGCAAAAAAGAGTTCAGGGACAGTGCCTAGGCCTTAAGTTCAAGCCCCATGACTGACAAAAATAAAAACAAGTAGACACTGGTTATTGACAATCATGATTTCCCTGTAAAATTTGTAAAAATTGCATTTCCCCCCACTTTTCCATGATTGCAAGGAAATCTTTGGTCCGTGCTTGCTGGCTGTGTGTTTTACTGTAGACCAGCTGGATTTCCTGACCGGTTTTTCTAAAGCTGGTTCTTTATAACTGTGCTTTGCTGGCATTTACCTACAGGTGGAAGCGATTCTCATTTGCAAACAATGGAGTACTTTCAGCCCGAGCTAAAGGTTGAGCTGGGTTAATTCTTAGGGTCCCCTTCCACCTGTAATTCTAAGTTAAATCTTGGTTGTTTTTTGTGAAAATCATAGATGGGTTAGGTTAAGTAAATAAAATGGGATTACTTCCCTTTTTTATTTTCCTTCTTTTTTGGTGCCAATACTGGGCTTGAAGTGTCTCAGTGCTGTCCCTTAGCTTTTTGCTCACTTCGAGGTCTTTTGGTGGTTGATTGGAAATAAAAGTTTTCCCGACGTTCTTACATACGCTGGCTTTGAACCTTAAGCCTCAGATCTCAGCCTCTTGAGTAGCGAGGGTAACAGGCCACCAGCTGCTGCTTCTTTTTTCTCCCAGTCTTGGAGCTTGAATTAAGTGTCTAGGCACTGTTCCTGAGACTCTTTGTGTTCAAGGCTAGCACTTTACCATTTAAGCTATAGTGCCACTTCTGTTTTTTTTTTTTCTGAGTAGTTTATTAGAGTCTCACAGACTTTCCTGCCTTGGCTGGCTTTGAACCACATTTCTCAGATCTCAGCCTCCTGAGTAGCTAGGATTACAGGTGTGAACCATCGGCATCAGGCTGACCCAGTTTCTTTTTTTTTTTTGGGTCCGGTTGTGGGGCCTGAACTCTGGGCCTGGGCGCTGTCCCTCAGCACTTCAGCTCAAGGCAAGCACTCTACCACTGAGCCACCTTCCCAGCCCCTGACCCAGTTTCTTGATGGAGAGGAGGCCTCGCTTACATTTTTCCCAGCTTAGATCTCAAATTCTTTTTTTTTTTTTTGGTCCAGTCATGGGGCCTGAACTCTGGGCCTGGGCGCTGTCCCTCAGCTTTTCAGCTCAAGGCTAGATTCTGCCACTTGAGCCACAGCGCCACTTCCAGCTTTTTTCTTTTTGCTTATGTGGTGCTGAGGAATCGAACCCAGGGCCTCAGGCATGCAAGGCAAGCGCTCTACCACTGAGCCACCTTCCCAGTCCCAGATCTCAAATTCTTTAAGCTTCAGAACTCTCTCTGTTCTTCAGACAGAGATTATTATTTTTCTGAGAGCCCAGAGATGGGAGCTTCTGGAAGACAAAAAGGCCTTCCTTGGGGCTGGGAATGCAGCTTGGTGGTAGAGTGCTTGCCTAGCATGCATGAAGCCCGGGGTTCAATTCCTCAGTACCACAGAAACAGAAAAGGATGGAAGTAGCGCTGTGGCTCAAGTGGTAGAGTGCTAGCAAAAGAAGCTCAGGGACAGCGCCCAGGCCCTGAGTTCAAACCCCAGTGCCTCCCAGAGGCTTGTTCCAGTCTGTAAGCTGAGCTTCCTTGGGGGTCTACGCCTGGTGGGGGCGGGGGGATAGAAGCGCGGTCACTTCTAGCACCTGGCCAGCCTGGCGGAGGTCACCAGCGGACTGCACTGTGGGCTCCATGCACTGCCCCACCAGCTGGCTCTTAGCAAAGTGGACAGTGGTTGGGCAGCCAGCAAGACAAACTGGACCCCATCTTCACTCACGTGAGTGGCTTCTCCAGACGGCTGCCAGAGGACCCCACGATCTCTCCGAGGGTACAGAAGGCCTGGCCCAGGAAATCCTGCAGGCACGAAAGATGGGTATCACACGCTCTGCTCCCGCTCTGCCTCCTGTCCCATCACTGGGACCTCGCTGTGAGGGGGTGCCAGGACGTGACACAGCACTGCACGCACGCACACATGCACACACGCACGCACGCCACTACATGGAAGGAGTTCACACTCATGGGCAGGCGCAGGCAGAACTCACGTGTTTGGATAAATCAGGGCTTTTGGAGTCAACGTCGTATCTACAGGAACAGAGAGACATGATAAAGGCAGGTAAGGATGCCTTGCCCAACCTTCCCAGGTTTTTCAGTAGAGTTGGGGCCCTAGGGCTGACATGGAAGAATTATAGATGTCATGGGTGATGTTCTGTGTGGATCTACGTGTAAACAGGTGCAGAAGTATATCCCAGAAGACATTTAAGATCTGTGTCCTTCACTGTGTAGATGATATTCATTGTTAAGAATTAGTCCAAGCAAACCGGGCACGGATGGCTCACGCCTGTAATCCTAGCTACTCAGGAGGCTGAGATCTGAGGATCAAGGTTCAAAGCCAGCCTGGGCAGGAATATCCCTGAGACTCTTATCTCCAATAAACTTCTCAGAAAAAGCCAGAAGTGGCGCTGTGGCTCAAGTGGTAGAGTGCTGGCCTTGAGCACAGAGAGGCTCAGGGACAGCACCTAGGCCCTGAGTTCAAGCCCCAAGACTGGTAGAAAGAAAATATTTAATCCAGGCACCAATGGCTCACACCTGTAATCTCAGCTACTCAAGAGGCTGAGATCTGGAAGATCAGGGTCCAAAGCTCGCCTGGGCAGAAAAGTGTCCATGAGACTCTTATCTCCAATGAAGCAGCAAAAGGCCACGGTGGATTTGTGGCTCAAGTGGTAGAATGCCAGCCTTGGGTGAAAAGGCTGAGCCAGAACATGAGGCTCTGAGTTCAAGCCCCACACAGGAAAGCAACACACACACACACACACACACACACACACACACACACACGAAGATGTACGCATCACACATTGTTAAAGATTGAAACCCAAATGGACACCGGCTGCGCCTCAGGTGGCTGAGCCGCGCGGCCTCCACTCGGCTCCTCATCCCGCCTTCACCCCAGCCCCCACCGCCCCTTCTGCCAGCGGCTAGGCCCAGCGTCCCTCCTCAGGGAACAGATGCTGCCCCAGCTGCCACCCGGAGCGCTCACCTCACCAAAGTGTCACCATCTGACTCCTCCCCCCAGGCTTGCGCTGTCCTCCACCGCAGCTCCTCCCCACTCCTCCAGGGTGCTCCTCCTTCACTGTTCTCCTCCCTCCCTTCCCCTCCCTCCTCTCCCTCTCTCTCTCTTTTTCTCTCTGTGGTTCCAGGGTTTGAACTCAGGGTCTCCCATTTGCTTTATGCTGAGCCATGCCTTCAGCCCCCCTTTTTTTTTTGCATGGACATTTTGCATGGGGCATGCGCCTGGACTGTGATCCTCCTATTTTGTACTTCCTATGGTAGCTGAGATGCCAGGCATGGGCCACCAAGCCCAACTTCTTCTGTTGAGATGAAGTCTCCTGGACTTCTCCGGCCAGGCTGGCTGGGAACTGAGATCCTCCCAGCTCTACCCCATGCAGCTAGGATGCCGGGCGCCAGCCACCGACCCCTGGTCCTTTCCCATGCTGCCTGCTGACTCTAGGACACAAATCTTAGTAATAGCTCCCACCACTCATCTCCTGAAACAACAGAGACTCAGAACTCGGCCTGCTCACCAGACCCAAGCCCTACGCTGACCTTTAACACCTGGACAAGGGTCTCCCCCTCTTCCAATGTTCCTGTAGATGCTCTTGAACGCCAGTAGCCATGTTAACTCTGGGGTAGGGGGGATGGAGGAAGCCCTGCCACAAAGCACACCAGCCTGGGGCTGGTGGCTCACGCCTGTAATCCCGGCTACTCAGGAGGCTGAGATCTGAGGATCGAAGTTTGAAGCTAGCCTGGGCAGGAAAGTCTGTGAGACTCATCTCCAATTAGTTACCAAAAGAGCTGGAAATGGAGCTATGGCTCAAGTGGTAAAGCTCCACTTGAGCAAAAAAGCTCAGGGACAGAACCTCCCCCCGCATACTGGGTATGAAAATAACAATAACAACAACAACCACACACACACACACACACACACACACACACACACACATATACACATGCACAACCACACACTCTGACTGAGGGCCAGTCAGCAGCACCTCTCGGTTACCTGGGGAGCAAGGAGGGTGAGATGCAGCCTAGATCTGTCCCTTCCCCTCCCCTCTCCTCCCCTCCCTTCCCCCCTCCTCCCTGCACCCAGTGCCCCTGGACCTGCTGGTGGGCACCTTTGTCCCCAATCGTCACCCGCTCCCCATGATGTCACTTCAACCTTGCCGACGCTAGGCTCCAGGAGTGTCACAGCTCCCCCACCCACTGGGGGAAGGAAACAGCTGTCCCCCCTCCCCCCCCCCCCCCCGCCACTCACAGGTCAAAACGGAGGTTCTGCTTCTCCTCGAAGAAGTAATCCACGATAAACTTGCGCACGAAGTCGGGGTTCAGCGTGTTGTCGATGACCTCTGTGCGGCCAAACTGGAAGAGAAAACGGGGGAGAGGGCAGCATGAGGTGTGTGGTCCTCAGTCCTGGCTCTGGGGGTCAAGGAGCCCCCAGTGCAGGAGTGAGCCCCGCACCCAGCGCTGGGGCTTACAGGGCCTTGGAAAAAAACCAAAACAATTAAAAGAAGGAAGTATGACTCTAAAAGGTGAAGCACCAAGCTGCTGCACTTAGTGGAGTATTATTCAGCCCTAAACCAGACACAGTCCCTAAACCAGACACCACAACATGGATGAACTTTGAGGACATTGTTCTAAGTCACAAAAGCCAGAGGGCTGTGTGACTCCACGCCCAGGAACAGCCACACAAGCGGCCGCCAGGGCGGGGTGGAGGGGAAAGGGCACTTAATGGGTATAGAGTGACCGTTTTGCAGGATGAAAAAGCTCCAATTAACTACCAAAAAGCTAGAAGTGAAGCTGTGGCCTGAGTTCAAGCCCAGGACCAGCACACATGTGTGCACACACACACACACACACACACACACACACACAGAGTTCCTAGAGACCTGCTTTCCATACTTAGAGAACCAGATACTTAAAACAGTTATAACAACATTTTCATTATTATTATTAATTATTGTTATTTTTAGTATTACTGGGGCTTGAACTAAGAGCCTTGTGCTTGATAGGCTATTGTTCTATCACTTAGGCTACGGCTCTATCACTTAAGCCATGACTCCTCTGTGTGTGTGTGTGTGTGTGTGTGTGCGTGTGTGCGTGCGTGTATGTGTGCATGCACCAGGAGTGGAGCTTGAACTCAGGGCCTGAACACTGTCCCTTAGCATTATTGCTTAAGGCTGGCACTCTACCACTTGAGCCACAGCTCCATTTCCAGCTTTTTGCTGGTGAATTAGAGATAAGAGTCTCACAGACTTTCTGGCCCAGGTTGATTTCACACCATGATCCTCAGATCTCAGCTTTCTGAGTAGCTGCGATTACAGGTATAAGCTATAGACACTCACCTGGCTATATGTGTGCGTGCATATGTGCGCATGTGCGTGTGCATGCATGTGCATTTAATCACATAATTCAAACACACAAGCCCCTTCACACCATTCATTCTAGATCTGCCCAGGCAGGGTCTTGTTGATGATCTTTCTCGGAGTCTTACCATGAGTAAGACAGACAGGTGCAAGACAACATATTTTAAATAGAACGCTAATCGTTCTAAATATATTAGCATGGAAAGTAATGACTAAAGTAAACAAACAATCTTCCTGGTTGGGGGCCTTCCCTGCCCTCCTGCCCAGACCCTCCCCCACATGGCTGGCGCAGCTGGGGTGTCTGGAATTCAGCTCCCTGCAGAGGGAATCAGGAGCCCTTGACTTAATGCCTTTTTGTCCCCTGTCCCTCAAGAAGCCAACCAGGTCCCAGCCAACCCCAGCCTCAAGGTGGCTCTCCTCTCCCCAGCGCCGCCAACCTCTTGTCATCTTTGCAGCCATAGCCTTCCCTAGGCTCCCAGGGGCAGGTGGAACCGCCAATGCCCCTACAATGCTGAACCCCTGCAGCACTGAGCCCCTGCAGAATGCCAGGGCCAGCTGATCCCTTGGGGGACAAGCTTCCCCATCTTGTAAGACCAAAGCACACAGACATTACCTAACTTGTCAGGAGCCACACAGCTAAGATTCCCCACCCCTCACCCCAGGCTCAGGGCACTTCCCAGCCATGGCCTGGGCTCTCCAAACCAGACGCAGCAGGGAGGAGAGAAATACTCGTGATTGCTGCTCACTGCCAACCAGGACCCGCACACGGTGGGCACCCACAGGTCGGTGAAATGAATTAAGGCGGAAGAAGGAGATGAATGAATGAGTTTGAGTTTTAGCTTTTGCCACGAGCTAACTGTGTGGTTTGATCAGAACCACGCTTCATCAGGAGATGGGCGTCTAACGTCCGTTCCCCCCCCCCCCCCCGCCTCAGGGATTACATGCGTGCGCTACCTCACCTGGCTACTTGCTCTACTTACTTGCTAGGGTTATCATTCAGTTAAATTCCATTCTTGCACATGTCTTTCGTTTTTGTGCTTGGGGAGGGGGGAGTGGATACCAGGCCCCCCAAAGGAGTAGGCTGCCCCCCCACCCCTTACTGCATGGCAGATCTGCTGGGAAGAAAGACCTAGGACCTGCAGGAAATCGGGGAGCAGGTGTCCTGTGTCCCGGGCTGGTGCAGGCATTGCCGCCGGAGGGGCCCCCACCCCGCCTTTGTCTTTGAGCTATAACTCTGAAAAATGTAGAGTGGCTCTTGGGGTGCAGAAACTCAGGAGAGCTGCACACGTGGAAATGCAGTTGGTCCTCACCCTGTAGGTACCAGCAGCACGCACACTGTTGGTAAATTTATTCCTGATTGCCGAGAAGCGTCTTCCTGCTTGGTTCATTAGAGCGAAGTGAAGTGAGCCTTTAGCATGTGCTTATCTTATGTGTGTACAGATGTCACATTTACCTTTTTTCAAAAAAAAAAAATCCATCCGGCAACAGGCACTTGTAGAATATACCTTAGATCACAGTAGCTCACGGGGCGCCGGTGGCTCACGCCTGTCATCCCAGCTACTCAGGACGCTGAGATCTGAGGATTGAGGTTCGAAGCCAGCCTGGGCAGAAAAGCCCCTGTGAGGCTTTAATCTCTAACCACTCAAAAGTGGATTAAATGGTAGAGCACACTAGCCTTGAGTAAAAGGGCTCAGGGACAGTGCCCAGGCCCTGAGTTCAAGCCCCATAATCAACCAAAAATAAGAATAAGTAGCAGGTGCATTTAGAATCTACCATGGCTTAAGTCCCCCTCCCCCAGCTAGACCAATTAAATGGGTACAGCAGGTAGGAACCAGACAAATGCTTCTTTCAGGTTCTCGCAAGCAGACAGAGTTGGGAGCAATTTACTATAGAGCAAGCAGGAATCTAATATTTCCTGAGTTACCAAATGGCTCAGGAGATCAAGTGGATCACTTTCTTATTCAGTGACGAGGAAAGGATCAAAGAGGTTGAGTACTTTGTCTGGGTCACACAGGCAGATACCACAAAGTTCATTCTCTTTTCCTTCATCCAACTGCAGGGGGCCATCCCACACTATGAAAATCAACCAAGGTGGAGTCCACTCCCCAAGCACTGGGAGGATGTGGGGTTGAAGGAGACTGGGGTCCTGTCTCACCCTGGAAATTCCACAACACTCCTTACAAAGGGGCACTCAGGGGTTCTGGGAGATCCCTGCTGTTGCTGAAGACTTTTGTCTTCAAACAAAAGAGAAATTTCTCCTTGTAGCATTCCTGTGGAAGCTTCCAGAATCCTCCAGAAAGACAAGACCTCCACTTCCCCGCCGAGCCCTGCCTGACTCCAAGGAATATAGAACCCCATCACTGGTGAGGACATGGTGCTAGAAGCTTCTAAAAGGGGGTTCCCTAGAGGCTGATGGTGCCTGTAAAACAAAGGGGGTTCTCAGGACCAGGGCAGGGTGCCCCCATGGGGGAGTGGAGGGGTGCAGGAGGGGCAGGTAATTAACACGCACGCGCGTCTCCAGCTATGGCGGCAAACCCACGGTCTGGGGAGGGATGAAGGATGCCTTTGGCTTCATTTTGTGAGCTAAGACCCAGAGGGATTTGAACCTTGGATTTGAACAATCCAAGAAGCTACCAGGTCCCTGTCAGGCCCAATGCCCAGACACAACCAAACTCACGTGAAGAAAAGAAGAGGAGGAAAAAGAAATTCATTTCCTTGAGGATTCGGTTTTACTGAGTCACAGAGTTGTGGGGGCAGAAGGGGCTTGGGGGTTGATGGAGGAGTAGCAAGAGGCAGGCAGCACAGGGAGGGAGGGAGGGAGGGAGGGAGGGAGGGGCTGACTGCTAGTGGATACGCACAGTTCTCTGGGGCCAGCCCCTCGCTCTGCCAGCTGCCCAGGAGCAACCCATCCACCCTTCTAACCCATCCCCAACAAGCCCTCTACCCACATTTTGGGAGGTCACATGGCTCACGCGAGGGCCACAGCAGCCCCAGTGAACAAAGGCTGAGGGAGCCCAGAACTGAGCAGGCTGAGCTGACAGACACAGAGAGGCCTGGGAAGGCTGGGGCGGTAGGCGGGTGCAGACGGGTGGGCTGCGGGCGGTGGAGATGGAGGAGGCGGCTGAGGGGGGCTGGGAGGGGAAGGGAGCCGGAGGGAGGCCTGCTCATGGCCCGGCAGCAAAACCCCCGCGGGAAAGGCCTCGGTTGGGCCACAAGAGCCACCCTGAGACCCAGAGACCCCTGAGACAGAGTCCCTGAGTGTCAGTGAAGCTGGGGAAGTGGCAGGGCGCCAGCTCCAGCGAGGACCCCCCCACGGGGGCTGAACATCACGGCTCCCAGGGCTCTGCTGTACATAGAGTTAGCACATACAGAGGCATGAGGGGCAGTGCGCCCCACTATTTCCCTGTACCCCACTGTGGTGCCAGGTGCGTCACCCAGAGGTAGTCGGGGCTGGCTGAGCTGCAGCCTTGCTGCTCCAAACCACACACACACACACACACACACACACACACACCCCTCAGGAGGGGGCCATGATGTCCCACACTAAGTTGGGGTCTTTGATGTAAGTATCAGTGTTCCTGAAGCCCCCCACTGTGTGTGCAGCCCTAAGTTTTTCCCACGACCACCTTAGGAAGTTAATACCATTACGGGTCCCATTTGTACATAAGAAATCAGAAAAGGCTCAGAGAGGTGGGGGGAGTCACACAGCCAAGTGAGCAGCAGGAGGAACCCAGGTGGCGGAGCTCCAGGGTCACAAACGGCTGATGGACTCACAAATCAACAAGTTCTCTTTTTTGGATTGTAGGGTGTAAAGTCAGTGCCTGGGCACTAACACTGGGAGCCGTAGCTAGGATTACAGGTGTGAGCAACAGCGCCCACCTTGAAAGATATTTTAATGGTGGGTCCATGGGTGTCCTCATCCCTGCCCCAGCCCGGCCAGCCTCTGCGCTTCCTCCATACGCACCGTCCCTCTCTCCTTTTCTTTTTTTTTGGGGG